TTTCAAGAGATTACCACTTCTCAGCTGTTTAGTAGCTCTCATCGTAACAGGCCAGTCATTTCTACCATGCTCTGAATCTCATAGCTCTATCAGAAACTTTCAGACAGCATGCTAAATTTATAGTCTCCTGGGACAGAAAGTCTCTTAGCACAAATCTATCCAAGACAGACTGGTTGTTTTTATTCTAACAACCATTCCCCTTACTCACACACACGAGAAAACAGCAAGCCTCACTGGAATGTGTGTGAAGGACGGATCAGAGAAAGCTATATATTTCCTGTCTTGATCCTTTTTGTTACAATACAGACTTAATCTTCTCTCACATGTAAGTTCTGGATGAGACAGTAACCACCACTTGGTAATTAAATGTAACTTTGAGTCACACGATTCCAGAAGTCATATATACACTGCAACAAAATGAAAAAAAAAAAAAAAAAAAAGGGAATTTCAGAAAAATCCCGTCTCTTTAAAACCATTTCTCAGGAACAAAACACCACCCTTGCTGATAAACAAACATGCCTAACTTCTTAAATGAGTTCACAAGTCACAATATTCACGTTTTAAAAGAACAATTTATGACATGATTTTAAGAAAACACCATCAATGTTTTTAAAGTCACAGTAGCTAGAAGACAGTTATAAAATGTGCAAAATCACTGTAGTAAGTTATATTTGAAACAAACCCTGAATCTGACTGCACTCAGTATAATGACAATCCAGGATAGGAAAGAAGGGGAGGGAGACAGGAACACATAACCTAATAAAAGAATTATAGAAGTAATCACCTACACAATTCTTCAAAACAAAAACATGTGTCCTAATAAACATTTAAAATATTACTCCTGTCTTTTAACAGTAAACAGGCATAGACACTAAATTAGCGCCATCGGAGCCATTTAAAGAGTTCATCTCTCCAATCTCTAAGCGAGTATAATCACTAACAGCTTATGTGGCAACAATTAATCCCATGCTTTGTACAGTATTCGGTCTTTACAGTAACAGGAGCACCGCTTGATACCTAAAGCACACGCCTGTTATATGACTTCAAGTCATACTGAAATTCCACAAATTCCAACTAGTCTCTTTCCCACCAGCACGTATGGTACTTTGTACAAGGCAGACAACCCAGATCAAGTAAACCCCAAAAACTGACAAGCTGGTACAAGTTTTGTCCAAACCTGTAATCATAAAATGCAACAGTTCATTTGAAAGAATGCTACCTCATCTTAAACAAGCCTGCAGTGCGAAGAAACCAGGACTGTTGAAGGCTTCTAACACAATGCTGTTCATGACCTCTGGGAAAAGATAACTATGAATTCATCTGGCGAAAACGTGTCAAGAGAGAGGGTCAATAAGCTAGTAGAGCAATTATCATAATTTCAAATGAAAGTTAAATAGAAGGACAATTTTGATCAGAAATTATCAAACTGTATAACATTTGTATATTCATCACCTGTTTTTTCTTTCTTGTTATCGCATTCTTCAGGGTCTTGCTTTAAACATGCCCTAAGGGTTGGGAAAAGCTATCTTGGCATCTTAGTACAGGTGACTGAGAAAAATCAAGATACACTAAAGAGCTTCAGATGACTGTGTAATGACCTTTTTTTGACTTGTGTAGCAACAAATGAGTCAGTCACAGGTAATCTCTTACAGTTATAGAAAGTTGAGACTTTGGTGAACATGGGTAGAAAGGAGAAGGAATGTGAATTTTGGATAGAAAATTCACCGTGAAGCACAAAAACAAATTAAATAACTACACCTTAAATATTCTGTTAAGCTTGATGTCTGAATAGAACCTAATAATTGTGTCAAAATATTTTTCTAACATCTTACTACATAAGGCTTCCTTCCACTGAAGTGACAAGAAATTGTTTCCTATTTATCTGTTAGGCTCCAATACTTCACACATATCCTTAATAGCTTTTATTACTGGATCTAAACCAAAACAAGAAAGCCCCCAGAAACTGTCTATTTCTGTTCCCTAAGAGGAAAAGGGAAAAAAAAAAAAGGAACCCGCTGTCCTAGTACATATGGCAGCATGTGCAAACAGGACTGCACTCCCATTTCTCCCATGGGATACATAATTCCATGATGTTTCACATGCCAAAGAAATGTCATTTTAACTCAGCTAATAGTTTATGTTCCAGAATCACGGCCTGAAGTAAAGAATACAGTACAAATCCATGTAATATTTTTCTGCAGACACCTACAGATAAACAAAGTCTGCTGTAAGCAAAAGTTCCACAAAGGGTTAACTTGTTGGAAGCACTCAGCATAAGTAGTTAGTCTAGCTGTGAGTCAGCAATGCCTGTCTAGAACTGCAAACAGGAGACCCTTTGACACAGATAGTCAGCTTCCAGCAAGTCTCTTATTTACCATCTCCTCCCCTCCCACTGCAACTCGGCTTAAATCTTCCTCATACCTTGAATTTGGCAAGTTGTCACAGAAGCAGTTTCATTGCACTAGATACGCTTCTACAACCACTTTGGATTGCTCAAATGTTTAAGCAGATTGCCATCTCAACTGACAGATCATCTCTAACGTTTTTTTTTAACATGTTTGAAGCCAAAGGTACAGCAACAAAGATGCACCATATTAAAAAAAGGAGCTTTAACAAGCTCAACAGCTTTCAACAGCTGTGCAACCTCTACCCCAAGATAACTGAAAAGTTCCCATTTGAAGGAACGAGTTTACTAATTCAAAATACATCAGCTATGTTTCCCAACAGCTCGCTAAGCCAAGCCTCCTTTTATGCTGTGACACTTTGCAGATAACCGTATTTCAGCAGCACTTTTCTGTCCCACAATACTTTAATGAATGTACACACAAACAACACATAAAACATACTGCAGCCTTGGAGAAAAGAGCATTGTACACCTCTGAAGATAAGAAATATTCAGATAGTTGAGATCAGGGACTTTGGACTTAATGCCTTGTCTGAAAAGCTGCACCTCTAGCAGTAAAATTCCCACTATTGTGCTGAGCCCTGATAAAGAAGAAACCTACCTAATGAGTCATTTCCGGGAATATCCTAATTTTCTTTGGCAAAGGTGTTCCTTTTCAAATACTTTGTAAACCCAACCCTTTCCAGTGAAGCAGATTTGCAGTCAACAACCATACATTTTCAAAGCTCAGTCCATAACAAAATCATTCTGATCAAGGAAAACAATCTATTTCTGTAAAATATTCCCAAGATACCAATATTTAAACAACTGAATAATATAAAGACACTTTTATTTCCGTAACAGAATATCCTTTCCTCTGATCATAACAAATGCTATTGTGTCCTACTTGTACCCATTCAACTTGTGCTGCTACGACTTTCATTTTCCTAATAAGGTACTCTTATACATTCCAAACAGTACTATCCCTTTCCTTGTCCCATCAAAATTAAACTGCTTCTTCCCAATTCAGGACTCTTAATCATGTCCTATTCACTAAGAAGAGAATAATCCTGCCTCCAGTAAATTCAAAATGTCACCTTCAGGTGACCAGATGTCAGGTTTGGGAAACAAAGACTCATACATCTTTCCCATGCTGCCTTCAAGGCCTCTACCACATTCAAAACTACTAGAGTTAAATTTCATTTTAAATCTCTCCTTGCCTTCATAACCATAAAACGGCCAAGTCTGCCAGTAGTTGAGATGCGTTGAGATCACAGTCTACCATGCTAACTATTATTCCAGCTCCTTCTCTTTTATTTACCACCACCACTTTTATCTTATACTTAGAGGACCGCAAATAATAAGATTTCTGTTCTGTTTTTGCAGTTTCTAGTGTCTCTATTTTGAAGGCCTGTAAACATGGCTATAATCGCATAATGATGGTATAATCTACATGAATGAGGAAACACTTTTTATCTTCTTGAAAAACATTATTTTGGGTTGAAGTTAATTAATTCTTCCAACGAGCAAAACAGTTTCTGGAGGTAAAGCACCAGGAACATCAAGTGAAGCATCCCTCCAATCCATATTACTGTCCTACAGTTCACATATTCTAAATCACTTTAGCATAAGCATTATGTTTTGGGTATAAAGCCACTCCAAATCTCCCCAGCATTTCCAGTATGTTGTGCCATGCAGCTCTATCTAATATATATAATGCCCAACACTATAAGGCACCCAGGACTCAACTACAATCAAATCCATAGTATCTTGCGTGTAAAGTTGGTAGCAGGAATTCAGACTCTGGAGAGACCTTCATCTTGCCAAGAGCCACCAACATACACACCAGAGAGTAAAGGGAAATCACCAAGATGATTTACAAACAGAAGCCACCGGTTATCAGTTTCATTTGTCGCAGGATGGGGCTCAATGTGGCTTTCATGGCAGCCTGGTGATCCTGAGCTTCAGACAGTTCATGTTCTTCCAAAACCAGGAATTCTGACCCTGTATTTTAACACTCCACTGTCACTCATCAAGTGGTCAGAGGGATTCATACCGTAGTTTTCCATAAACTACTTGCAGATTGAGAAACATAGGCAGGCATTCTCACTCCAGGATTAGAAGGCCTACCGGGATATTTCACTTTTAACTCCAGGTCTTGTTCTTATTTCTAACAAGCCTGATAGAACTTTTCAGACATTTGCAGTGAGAAAGTTAAGTCACCCTTGGTAAGTGCAGACCAATGCGGCAAAGAAAAATCTACAGTCTGAAGTACTTCACACAGTAGTCTGAAGATGAGCTAGCACTTTCTTTGACTGACCTATCTCAGCTTTGCACAACTTTTAGTCACCACAAAGGACATGGAAGTTTTTTCTGGTATTCACCTAAGACAATAATCGAAAGCATTTATCACTGGAGCTCTCTGGACCTTCCACATCAATCCTTCCCATCAAACAATGTAAATCAGTTCTGTCAACTCTAGATTATTAGTTCTTGATACAAATAAAATATTGTAAGAAGTAATCTGATGACAGGGCTGCTTCTTAAGACATACCATGACAACACCACAGTACTTCCTTGGTAAGGACATACTATATGAGAGAACTCTACCACTTACCATTCTTCCTTTCACTGAGAGGAGGAAGGTTGGGGTTTCGGCCATGATGGAGGTTGAGGGTCAGCTCGGGCTGCAAGGAGAGCTCCTGCAGCTCATTGGCAACAGCTTCGCTCTGAGGGCTGGGGGCCGCCGAAAGTGACACCAGCACCGGCTCATCATCATTTTCGCCAGCCCCTCCTCCGTCCAGCCCATTTCCAGCAATGACGGAAGGGGGCAGGCACACCACACCGGAGAAATCCACTTTGGCTTTCGTGATGGCAACCTGAAAGACAAACCAAAAATAAATAAAAAAAGGAGATCTCATGTGACAGTCTTAACCCATATATCCAGTTCATCATGGCGTCTCCAAATTCTAGAGAAATGGTTTTTAGCACAGTGTTTCTGTTATCATCATCAATTCAAACCCAACTAGTGATTGAAACTTGCTAAACCCAGCAGTTTATAAACTTGCATAAACCTCCAGCAGCATCACCACAGAAACTACCAATGCAACTAAGATTATTATCATTTTCTTAAAAAATATGAGAACATTCTCAACTTTTGGTACTTCAGGAACCCAATCTTGAGAAAATATGGACTGAGTTGTTCCAGTGAAGTCAGCCTATCTAGAAACCTGCTGAACTCTTAATAACTCTACTTTTATACCAACAATGTTGTTTTAACAGAACAACTGTCAATTGGTAAAGTGATCTTTCAAAATAAATCTGGAAGGACAGCTGAGTACCACAAATGAGGATTTTCAATTAAAATCATTTGCATTTCAAAAAAATAGTTCTCTTGCCCCATTCTCTCTTCCCTGCTATCAATGAAAATGAATGGAAGCAAAATACTCCACATAAAGCAAACAAAAAAGCTTTCCTGTCTAAAACCTCAGCTACAGTAACTGAACTGTGCAATGTATAAAGGGCTTTAATGGAAAAAGTAATTTTTAAATGTTTCAAGATATTCCCATAATTCTTGAAATAAGTGTTTAAAAGCCACCGCTATGTTAAAATTAAAAATCTTTTATGTTCAGCAATTTAAACAGAAACAAACCAGCTGGAAGTCTCCAGTGAAATAGTTACTGTGTCAACTTTTAAACAGTAACGGACATTATACAAGGGCAATCGTATTTGGTTTTGATTAATGAAGAAGGAAGTCTACTGCTTCTAAGTATGCTGGTATTTCAACGAGTCTAAACTCAGAAGCCTACCACTACATAACTCTGCTGCACTGTAGTAATTTATCAAGCAGAAGGCATTTCCAAAGGCCAACCTTCAGCTTCAAAAAGATGCAGGTAAAGCAAACTGCAAAGAAGCAAAGTAAAAGCCATCGGGATAATCTAGAAATCAATCAAAAAGTGTAAACTTGGAGCAACATTTTTAACAATACGTGTTTTTATTAAGTATTCCCCACTTAGCACTTAAAATTAACCTGAATGTGTGACAACATTCAACACATTAATAGCTGATAAAGTAGTTCAAATAGTTGTTTTCCCCACTTCCATTTCAGTTTTTCACTTGAGTTGATTAGTAATGTTTGCTCTGTAATACCCAGAACAAAGTTATTAAGCAGCAGTATATTTGTTTCAAAAAGTTATTCAGGTTATATTCAAGGTAACAATAAGAATTACAGGTAAGGAATACACACTATTTCATTCTTGTTGTCATACATTCTTTCCCAGGACCCTATGGCATGGTCTGAAAAGAAGCAAGGAAAAGAAGGGTGGAGGGAAAAAAAAAGAAAGCAACAAAAACCACCAACCGAAGCTGGTGTTTGTTATAACAAAACAAACGAGACTGAGCCAAACCTCACTGCCATATGAAGTATTTGCTTTTACTTCAGTTACAATTTGGCTAGAAAGTGTCTATCCCCTCCTTGATATATTTCCTGTCCAAAGCAAACATCGCTCATGTCCATTTCAGAGCAAATTGTAACGGTAAAGAGAAAAAAATGGGATTGTGCCCTTCTTCTCTTTATAATGTATACAGAAAGCCTGGAAACACACACCCTCAAGCCACAGATTTAGAATAACACTATAATAATCCTTGCAAAAGCTGGAAAGAGTTAAATCATGACCAATGTAATTGGGCTCAGGCCCTGCCCCTGTAGGAATGGGAAGCCTGTGGAAAAGGGCTAGAATGAAGAGTAAATCGCTCAGTGAGGAGGCTGCTGGTAAGGACTGCTGCCACCTTCTCAGAGGAGCCAAAGCCAATTTGTTTTATTGAAGGAGATGTACTGGAGACATCACTGGAGACTTTGCCTAGTACCATGTGATGGTTAGGTTAGACCATACGGGAAGACAAGTACAGCCAGTCCTGAATCCACAAACAGGTGACAGACATATCTAACACCCACCCAGCAAGGATTTGGCATGGCAGAAGATTCAACTTTCCCCCTCAATCCATCCTAGAAGAGTTCTTTCCTCTTCCCATGTGGGGAAACAGACTTGACATGTCTCAAAAAGTCAGATCCACTTCAACTAGGAAAACAGCAGGAACTTAGGAACTTCTGACATGCTGGACTTCCTTTTAAACAGGAGTTTGTAATCTGAAATCACATTTCAAACACCACTTTGACAACAGAGTTGTAAAACAAAATCTATTTTCCTAGTCTAGGTATATTCACATTATCCAGTCCACAGAACCCATATCCTCTATGTAAAAGCACAGTACTAAGCTACAGTTAAAGCAGTTTAGCCTAGCCAGCCACAACGTACAATGGAGCAAGAGAACAGACCAGTTTGCTACGATTCCGTGACACCATACCAAGTGGTGTTAATTAGCACTAGGATTATAAATCAGAATTTCTCCAGTAAATTGTCCAGTGGAACTTCAGCCCAGGGGCTGGATTATCACTAGAGTTGTACCTGGCTCCACAGGTTTATGAACTTACATGAAAACACAGAAGGAAGGTATCTTCTTCTTAACCCTAGTTAGCATGTCATTCAGTGTTTGTCCCACATCCCAAACCTTGCCTTGGCATTCATTCTTGCCCTGCCACTACATCCTGCATTGTGCCAGCTGCGAACTGTATCAGAAAGCTGATTCAGCTGAAATCCAACTTTTCCTAGGTTATGTTCAGCTGGATCAATTCATCCATAAAAACCCACAGCTGAACCAAGACAGTACAGGGGTAGACGGCCACCAAATGCAAAAAAAAAAAAAAAAAAAAAAAAAAAAGGGGAACGGGCATAGCTCCGTTCCCACTGCTAGTTACCATCTAATTTCAATTCCACATATATATACACATAGATAGATTTCCTCTAGGTATGATTTTGAACATTAAGAACCGTCTTAGGAGCAGAAGGCTAACTTGGT